CATGCAGTGTTCCCTTGCTCTGTTCTGACGACTGCCTCCTGGTCCAAGTATAAGTTTCGCATTAGAACGATCAAGTGTTCCCATTCTTCTCAGAGTCAGCCATAGTTTGTTATGATCTACATAGTCAAATGCCTTTGCATTCTAAGTATTTGTCCATTTCTTTTAGGTTTTTATGTTTGTTTGAATATAGTTTTTCATAGCATTCCAGTGTTAGCCTTTTTATTTTAGTTGGTTCTGTTTTGATGTTGCCTGTTTCATCTTTAATTCGTATTATTTGTGTCTTTTCCTATTTCTTTTGTTAGTTTTGCTAGTGGTTTGTCGATTTTATTGACCTTTTCAAAGAACCAACAACTCTAGTTTTGTTGATGATTCAGTTGTTTTATTTTTCATTTATTTCTACTCTGATTTTTATAATTTCAGTTTTATTAGAGGGTGTCAGGTTTTCTTGATGTTCTTTTTCAATTTGTTGGAGACGTTGGTTTAGAGAGTCAATGATCATTTTTTTGTTGCTTTTTTCTTTGTTTCCTTATTGCTATAAACTGACCTTTGATTTCTGCTTTGACTGTTTCCCAGAGGTTTTGGCAAGTGATGTTTCATTGTCATTTGTTTCAAGAAATGTTTTAATTTTATTTTTTATATCTCCTAGCACCCACTCATGTTCAAGCAAGGTGTTATTCCTCTTCCAAATGTATGGGTTTTTTCTTCTTTAACCTCTTGTTATTAATTTCTAATTTTGTAGCATTGTGGCTAAGAAGATGCTTTGTATTATTTCTATGTTTTTTAATTTATTGATGCTTGCCTTGTAACCTAACATGTGATCTATTCTTAAGAACGTTCCATGCACATTGGAAAAGAAGGTATATACTGTACTTTTTTAAGGTGCATTGGCCTATAAATATATATGAGATGGAGTTGGTTTATTGTGTGGTTTAATTCTTCAGTATCTTTGTTGAGTTTCTTTCTGGTAGTTATATCTTTTCTTGAGAGTGGTGTATTGAAGTCTCCAACTACTATAGTAGTGTTGTCTATTTCCTTTTTCAGCTTTGTTAATATTTGTTTTATATATTTTACAGGTCTTTCATTTGATGCATAGATATTCATTATTGTTATGTCCTCTTGTTCTATTGGCCCTTTAAGCATTATTTAGTGGCCTTCCTTGTCCTTTGTGATGGCTTTTACAGTGAAACTTATTTTATCAGAGATTAATATCACTACTCCTGCTTTTTTTCCCCCTTTTCTTTTGGTTGCCATTTGCTTGGTATATTTTCCTCCACCCTGTTATTTTTAGTCTTTCTTTATCTTCCTTTTTAGGTGTATCCCTTGTAGATAACATATTAATGAATTTTGGTTTTTTATCCAATCTGCTACTCTTTTTCTCGTCAGTGGTGCATTTAAACCATTCACATTCAGTGTGTTTACTGAGAGGCAAGATTTTATTACTATCATTTTGTTGAGTTCTTTTTGGTGTTGTTGCTAGTTACTTAGGTCCATCCTGGTTTCTGTGGCACTTCTGTAAGAAGGACATCTCTCAGTGTTTCCTGCATTGCTGGTCTTGTTTTTACAAACTGCCTTAGGTTCCGTTTTTCTGGGAACATCTTGATCTCTTCTTCATACAGTTGTATTCTTTGAATGTTTGATATATGTCATTCCACTATCTTCTTCCTCACATGGTTTCTTCTGAGAAATTGGCACTTAATCTTATCTTTTTTCCCTTATAGGTTACTTTCTGTTTCTCCCTTGCTGCTTCCAGAATTATCTCCTTATCTTTGGTCCTTGCAAATTTGATTTGACTATGATATGCCTTCGTGTTTTTCTTTTGGGGTCTATTCTATTTGTTGTTCTTGAATAAATATATATATTTTTTTCTTCTAGTTATTTTCCAAAAGTTTTTCAGTGCCTTAACTTCCTGTTCTGGTTTCAGTGCTTCTTCCTGTTCTGGGATTCTGATGGTGTGCATGTTATTTCTCTTGATAGTGTCCCACATTATTCTTATATTTTCTTCTTTTTCCTTATTTTTTTATTCTCTTTTATCACCCTAGCATATCCTTGGACAATTCTATCTTCTATTTCACTGGTTCTGTGTTCCTTCTCCTCAACTCTATTCATGTGTCCCTCCATCATGTTGACAGCATCTGAAACCTTGTACTTCATATTTTAGATCATGGTTTGTTTTGGTTTTTTGTTTGTTTTTCCAGTGCCTCTAATGCCTCATTAATTTCATCTGCATTGTTTTGTTTTTTTTTAAGCTCCTGATTTTTGCTTGCAGTGTCTTGTAATTCTTTAAGTTTGTTCCCCCTGGCCCCCTGAAAATATTCAATCATTGTTCTTTTGAATTCTGTGTCAGAAAGTTCCATCAGACTTTCTGGCTTCAGGAAATACATTGCTACTGTGTTTTGGGGTGTGATATCTTGCTTTGGGCTTGTGTGGGGCGTAAGGTAGCCTGCTTCTTTTGGGATATTGCTGTGGTAGAGTTTTTTGTTCCTGAGGCAATAGCTGGTTCTTGGCTTGATGTCACTGCTTCAGAAGAAGGTTGGGCAGGCAAACAAGTAGATGCACATAGGGTGGGTGCATACACAAACACACGCTTGGGCAGGGAGTGGGGAAGATGCACATGAAGATGCACACAGTAGGGGTGTGTTTGGGAGACCTGAATGGAAAACCAAGAAGCCTTGGTTTTCGCCTCGAGTACTGAGTCTGCCACCCCAGTTGAGCTCCAAGCTGTCTCACTCCTTTCTGCTTAAGGTGATGGGGTCCCACAATTGGTCCAGCAATCAGTTGTGATTCCCCCTTAGTATCTCACTCAATTTCCTGCTGTCATGCTTGCTCCTGGCAGGTGGGTTCCACTGTGGCTCCCTGCCTGTTTCCTCCTGCAGCTCACTGCTCACCACTGTGGCTTGCGGTACCCCACTGAGGCTTGCTACACTCTGCTGATGCTTGCTGCACCCTGCCAATGCTTGCAGCTCCCACAGCTCTCAAATGTCTGCATTGAGCCACAGCAATGTTTTGAGAATCACCTATATATTTATGCTCCTAGCCTCAGGTCTGACAGCAATTTGTTCCCCAAAGTACCTGAGTGACCAAGGAGAAAGCCTGTTGTTCCCTTCTTGACATGGTTTCTCACCTCCATCGAGGAACCCAGGACCTCCCTGTTGCCTGAGCTAAGGGGTACTGTGTGGTCAAGCCAGACAGCAGTTTGTTCCCCAAAGTACCTGCTTGTTTCTGGCGAGTAGGTCCCACAGTGGATTGGCTGGTGGCTTCTGGCCGGGACACAGCTGGAGGCTTCTGCTGGGGCCCACTGCTTGCTGCTCCTGTGGCTTCCAAACAAATTATTTTAATAAAATTTCTAACTCAAATTCCTACTGTCCGCATCACACTTTGTCAGTCTCTGCATGCCACATAGGTGTCTCTGGTGGCTCTCCAGCTCCTTACGCTGTTTCATCTGCCACCACCATCTTGGTTCTATATTCGTGTGATATTTTATGAGTTGTTTTTCAATATTGTGTAATACTTAATTGTATGAATGTACCACAGTTTTTCTATCTATTCACTTGTTGACGGACACTTGGGTTGTTTCTATCTCTTTACTGTTGTGAGTAATGAAGCAATAAACTAGGGTGTGTATATACCTCTTTGAGCCATGGCTCTGGTTTCTTTAGAGTATATTCCCAGTAGTGGAGTTACTGGGTCCAATGGCATTTTTGTTCCAACTTTTTGAGAAAGTTTCAGATTGTCTTCCATTTTACATTTCCATCAGCAGTGAATAAGAGTTCCAATCTCTCCACAGTCTCCTCAGCCTTTGTTGTTTGCTGCCCTATTGAACTTTGCTATTGCTGCTGATGTGAGATAATATCTCATAGTTGGATTAAAGCATATTATCTTTACTGCTCAGAAGAGATTTCTGCCTAAACCAACTTGGAAGAGACCCACAAGTGAAATTGTGAGGAAGAGAATCTGTAAAACTGGATGGCAGTCAGTTTATAAAGGTCCATTTGGACAAAGCCCAGCATAATAATGTAGAACATAAGGATGAAACTTTTTCTGCTGTGTATAAGAAGCTCACAGGCAAGGATGCTAATTTTGAATTCCCAGAGTTTCAGTTGTAAACAAAATTATTAAATAAAGGTATTGTTCAAAGAACAAAAAAACCCTTATAGGGTTTTTTTTGTGTGTGTGTGTACCTTGAGTTTTTAACATAATAGGTTAATAAATAACTATGGGTTATAAGTATGTTAGAGGTTTGTGTTAGGTGTACAGGAGGCCAAGGAGGAGAATGAAGAATTCAAAGAATGCACATGTCGACAAGAAGAATGAATGGCCTTGCCCACCTGGCAGAACTAACTGATGAACCATAAATCACAATGAAATGTCCTTCCCTTCCCTCCCTAAAGACCCTGTGATAAAAACCCTCCCCAATACACTCAAAGTGTGACTTCCTCCTTCTGCATCTTCAGAAAGAAGAACTTCATCCAGGAGCCCCCCTAATAAAGCTGCTTTTAAATTTTCTATCTTGTTCTTTGATTTCTTAAGTCCACAGCCTAATAGTTAATAACCTGGAAGGTGTTTATAATCAAGAAAACACTTGACATAATCTGCAGATTTGATCATGTTACATTAAATGAGATGTGTTTTTCCACAGGTAACCTTTGATGTAGCTTGGTCTCCAAAGTATATAGATAGAAGATGCTATAACTACACTGGAATTGCAAATGCTTGTGACTTTGTTTTTGTAATGTCATACGATGAGCAAAGTCAGATCTGGTCAGATTGTGTTGCAGCAGCCAATGCTCCATATAATCAGACATTAACTGGTAAGAGCCCACAACAATTATTATGTATTAATAATATTAATCCCATCACCTCAAATATTAATAAAGCTTTTCAGTATTTGTAATTTATTTGTATGCATTTTTATTGTGATTTGAGTAAAAGTTTACAGAGCAAATATATTTTTCATTCATACACATTTTGTTCTATAACATTAATTTCCATGCCCACAGTATAATCACACTTTCTCACTCCCTTCCTGTAATTCTGATTTCCATTACTCTTTTGAAGTTTTAAACTGAAAGTTGGCTCACTCTCTCATCCTGTCTTTAGGAACTATGCAAGATGATTCTATCTAGATGATAACCTTTCCTTGTTGTTGTTGTTGTTGTTGTTATGTGTTGTCGAGTTACTTGTGACTCATAGCAACCCAATGTACAATATCTGCAACCTGCTCTATCCTGTGCCAACTTTATTATCTCTGATTCACCTACCCTCATTACCCCAGTAAAGCCATCTTCTTGATAGTCTTCCCCTCTTTCTCCATCCCTCCACCATTCCAAGCATGATGTCCCTCTCCAAGGACTGACCCCTCCTTGCAACATGCCCAAAGTATGTCAGACAAAACCTCAGAATCATTGCCTTTAAGGAGCAGCCTCATTTCAGCCTCTCTAGGATGAACCTTTTTTGTTCTCCTGGCAGTCCATGGTTTATTCAACATTCTTCTCCAGCACACAGCTCAAAGGCATCAATTCTTTTTTCTCTCATCCTTAGTCATTGTCTACCTCTCTGATGCATAGCAAGCAATTTTGAAGATTGGCCCGGATCAGGTGCGCATTAGTCTCCAGACTGTCATTACTCTTCCATACTCTAGAGAGGTCCCTGACAGTCAACTTTTCCAATTCAATTCGTCTCTTGATTTCCTGGCTTCTGGTATCAAGAGTGTTGATTGTTAGAGCAAAGCATGCTAAAGCTGTTAACAATCTCATTCTTTTCACCATCTATCATAATGCTGCCAATTGGCCCAGTGGTGAGACTCTTTGTCTTCTTGATGTTGAGCTTTAATCCATATTGAAGGCTGCAGTCCTTGACCTTCTGCAGCAAGCGCTTCAGGTCCTCAGTTTCAGCAAGCAGGGTTTTGTCATCTGCATAATGCAGACTATTGATGAATCTTCCCCCAATCCTGATGCCATGTTCCTTCTCATACAGTCCAGCCTCCCGAATGATCTGTTTTGCATATAGATTGGAGAGGTTTGGAGACAGAATACATCCCTGGCATACACCTTTCCCAATTTTGAACCATGAATAAGCTTCCAGATTGAGTTATGCTGGGAAACAGTAGTGGCATCCACTTCCTAAAACTAGGTGCCTCTGGAAACTCTACAAACTCTCTAAATTTTTTATATTCTCTAAACTCTTTAAATGCACGGAAATTATGGTAGTTATAGAACAGAATTGTGTACAGAAATTATGTCAGTCATAGAACAGAGTTTAGGTCTTTTGTACCAAGATTATTCTCAAGTCATATTCAACTTGATGACACTTAACGATTGCGAAGTGACACTAGTGCTGTTATATCTGGAGGAACACTTTTCTACTTTGTACATCACTCTTTGTCAATGTGCAGTATGAAGTAACCTGAGTTGCTGTCATGCTCCGCCTTGTGCCATTGGGGTATCAAATACCAGAATTGTTTCCTAATGTGGACAGTGTTTGGTGGAACTCCCAGTTGTAAAACAGGTTTGGAAGTAGGTGTGGCATCCACTTCCTAAACCTCATGCCTCTGGAAACTCTATGAACTTGGGGAAATGAGAACAGTTGTGGAGAGGCATTAGGTCTTTTGTTCATAGAGTCACTATGAGTTGTGCTGTACTTGACGGCAATCAACAAATAGCAACAACAGTGTCTCCTTACTCTGTTCTGACTACAGCCTCCTGGCCCTAGTATAGGTTTCACATAAGCAAAATCAAATGTTCTGGGATTCCCATTCTTCTCAGAGTCAGTTTGTTATGATCCACACTGTCAAACGCCTTTGCATAGTCAATGAAACACAGATATACATTCCTCTGGTACTTTCTGCTTTCTGCCAAGATCCATCTAACATTATCTGTAATGTCCCTAGGACCATGGCCTCTTCTAAAACCAGCCAGCCTGCCTATCTGGCAGTTCTCTGTTGATGTACTCTTCCAGTCCAGTCATTTTTGCATAATTTTCAGCAGAATCTTGCTTGCATGCGATATTAATGAGCTTGTTCAATGATTTCTGCACTCTGTTGGGTCACCTTTCTTTGGAATGGAAAAAAATATAGATCTTTTCCGGACAGTTGGCCAGGTGGTTGTCCTCTAGATTTCTTAGCTTTTTATAATATTAGTCTTACAGGATTAATAAGTAGTCTTTCCTTAGGATTAATATTAATGTTTCTTTAGCTTTTTATATTAGTCTTACAGGATAGTCCTTTTGTGACTGGCTTAATTTATTAGGAAAATGCCCTCTAGAGTCATCCATGTTATGCAGTGTTTTGTGAATTCTTTATCGGTTTTTATTGTTGTATAATACTCCACTGTGTGTATTTATATACCTTTTCATACAGGGAAGCTAAATCCTAGCGTTACTGAATGCAAGGAGTTCTTTCCACAGTTGATTGCCAGCAAGACAGATGGATTGCAATATCCATAAGCAGTTTATTACAGATCTGGGAAGACAATGAGATTCCCCTCAATACTACCTCTCTTTCTGGGAATGGTCATTAGGTTTTTATATTTGAGTTAGACTTTTGTTAGTTAAATTTACAGAATTTTTACATTTGAAAAGAACAGTTACAGGGAGCTCTGGTGGACTAGTGGCACGAAGCTGTGCTGCAATCTTGAAGGTGTATGGTTTGAATCCACCAGATGCTCTGCTGGAGAAGGAGAGGCAATATCCTCATGTGCTAGTTGGATCCATTCAATGGTGCACAAGTTAAAAAAAAAAAAAAGAAAGAAGAAAGGTAAAGAACAGTTGCTAATAAACAGGCACCTTATAAAATAGTTAACATATGACTGAGAAAAACAGGTTTGAAAAACAGAGTCTGGAACAAGACTCAATGTTCAGGTTACCCATAGGAAAGGGAGAAAACCTGGAGAGAACAAACTTGTGAGTTACAAAGAGAAGGTATTTCAGAATTGTTACTTACTGGTATAGTAGAGGAGATGGAAGTTTCACATACACAATTTTATGGGCTTAATTTAAGGCTACTTCTGGTGCTACTTTAATTAAGAGCAAGGCTAAGACAACCCTTGATTATACTAGAGATGTGTTTCCTGACAGGGTTCGATTGTTGACTTCATTCCTATTGCCACTGTGAAGGTTTTCAGAAACTCAAACTTGATCTTTATTACTTCAGATTATTTCTTATGATCTTTCCAAGCATGGCCTATAAGAGACTCCTATCTGTGTATTCTGGGCTTTAAGAAAAAAATTACTTGTGCAGACAGTCTTGTTTTAAGAGCAGACTATCTTAACTGGCCAGATATACATATGAAGAATTACTTTTTCTTCTAATTTTTTATTCAAGTATTCCAGGGTCAGAGTTTCAGGAAGAACTAGTTTTTAGGCCTTTCGGAGACCTTGAACAGTCCATGTTGCCTGTGGTCTTTGGTGTGTTCTTGAGGAAGGCAATGGGATAACAGAAGTCACTGACAAACCAGATTGAACTTCCTCCCACTCTGGCCCTTTTGGTCCTCTTCAGATAAATCAGCAAGCTGTCATCCTTCCAACTGGAAGACAGTTCTTCTAAAGAAGGCCCTCCCGAGGACTTTGGATAGGCCTTCTTCTAGTGTCCTTGTGCTTTTTGTAATATATATTCCCTCTTGTCTCTATCTGGTCTCCTTTTTCCTTTTGGGATTTTTTTCTTTGGGTCCAATCATCTTACCTTCGGTGGTATTTCCAAAGACAGCATTATCTGGAGGTGTTTGGCATTCTCAGTTGTTGAATATCTCGGGTATGATGTTGACCATGTTGAGTTGAGTTTGTGTCAATGGCTCAGTTTATCTTTTGTAGTATCCTCCTAATGTCAGGGATGCTCTGGGAAACAAAAGTCAGGTTAATCATTAAGACTCTAGCACTTTTCTGAGCCAAGGTCCATGTGCTTACAGAAAGCTTGATGCAGCTTTTGAAAAACTGGAAAAAGCTGGAAAGGATTTCCACTTGGTTGCTGCAGAATGGCTCCAGTCATTTTCAGGCTTGGAGCTTCCTTTCTTCTTCTTGGCCTTAGAGACTATACTTTTTGTGTTCCCCCTGCCACAGGCTTCTGCCATTGGGATCCTAATTAGGCTTAGTGAAGCAATTGTTTTCAAATAATCTCCATGAAGGCAAGCTGCTACTATTTGTTTTTCTCATCACCAGCCAGAAGCTGGGTTTAAAAAGTTGAATCTGCTCACTTAGCAAAGAAAATAGTGATTATTAAGTTTGTTATTTTAGTAGTCATCTTAATAGGAAGAGGCTGAAATTTTTATTTTTATTTTTTTCTCACTTTGATCTGAGACAGAGAGAAAAGAGAATGTTCTTCGTAAGATCTTTGGGTTGCCCATACAGATTAGCGAGCCTCTGGCATTGTTCTGAGCAGCCCTGGCTGAAAGGATATGAGGTGAAAAAAAATTTATCAAAGCTGCTTTTCCTCAGTTCATCTGGTGAGTGACACTTACTTTAGGTATTTACTATTAAGTGTCACTGGCATATAAAAAAATCACTGGCTTGATTTGATCTGGAAATGTATGCCTTCTTTCTTTTTGCCTTCATTGAGCAAGTGCCTTTTACATTTTCATTTTTATGGTATAGAATATTAAAGGCCAATGTACACAGATCTTACTCAATTTATTTGACCTCTGGTGAAATAATGTTACTTGCTGGATAATTAAGTATCTTTACGTTTTCTTTTCACCACAACCTAAATAACATAAAAATGCTAAATTTTTACTGAAATTAAAAAAAATATTCTTTTGGCTAAGGATAATATTAGCAAACAGGCCAAACGTACAGAATTCTTTTCTAACAGACTTTTTACCAAATTGGAAACTTTTGTTCTTACTCTTGAGCAGTGATCTAAAATGAAATGAACAATGAAAAAAAAGTGTTAATACATGTGCAGTCCTTAGATGTGGTACAGTTACGCAATCATCAGATATAATAACAATACAACTTTTACTCAGATAAAGTACAAGTTTTACTCAGCAAATACAACTTCCACCCATCAGATACAACACAAATTTTACTCATGAAATACAATATCTACTCATCAGATACAGCACAAATTTTGTTCACTAACTACAACTTCTGTTCATCAGATACAGCACAAATTTATCTCATTAAATACAATGGAACTTCCACTCATACAATCAGATCTGATAAAAGCAGGCATCAAACAAAGTGCTCTATAAGGAACAAAGAGCGGAGAGGAGCTACTTCCACCCCTACAAAATGAAGAATGGAGAGCTTCTGAGGTTCCTGTCTAAAGTATAACAGAAACCAACATAGGCACAACTGTGCAACAGATACAGATAACCAGAAAACAAGCACCTTAGTGCAACAGGCACAGCTAGAGTTCTCATTTTTACTCTTACAGATTTGGAGTGTGTGACTCCCTCAACCTACACACCCAGATTGGAGTGGACACCAATCCACTCACCCAGATTTGAGTGGGCAGCTCATGCCATCCCACTCCCAAGTTGGAGTGAGCGACTCACGTCAACTCACTCCCAGTTAGCCGGCTATCAGGCACACAGGTGCATTCCCCAGGGATGGCCAAAATTGACAGAAATTTTATTAAGGGATCAGTTCTAGATAAAGTACATGGATTTGTGAAGGCAATGGAGGATGCTAAGAGTTGATCTCTCAAAGGTCTTTTGAGACAAAAGGTCTCAGTGGTGCCTTTGGACATTTGAGATACCTGCTTTTGGGGTCCTCCTATCCACAAGATTCAGAATCCCCCAGCAAGCAAAGAGAAAAAGTTGTTTTTATTTACCAGGTGAGTCTGAAGGTCCCTTTGTGGTCGCCAAAATGTTACTGAAGCAAGGGGTTCTTTCAGTAGTCAATTGCCAATGAGACAAATTGATTGTAATATCCAAATGCACTTTATTACAGATCTGGGAGGACAGTGAGTGGGCCTCAAAGACTGCCTCCCTGTCTGGGAGAGGTCATTAGGCTTTTATACTAGGGTGAGACACCAACTCACTTAACAATGCACTTTTGTTAGTAAAATAAAAAAATTTCTACATCTGAAAGAAAACCATTCACACATAGATACCAGTAAACAGGCAACCTATAAACTTGTTACCATACAACAGAAAAACAGGTTTTGGAAAGGTAAGAGTCAATTCAGGACTTCCTTTCCTGGAACCAGGCAGATTAAGTTACAGTTTACCTATGACTCAGAAAAACAGCTTCAAAGAGATAACCAGTGATCTAGGAGATGCATCTCCTCTTCTGGTAAACAGATTAAAGAAAGGAATCTTAGAATCCTAAGGTCAAGCAACTAGCCTTGCAGGCTGGAGAAAACTAATGTCAGTTTTATAACTAGGTAAGTATAGATCCATAACTGATACGTACATAGAGAATTCTAAACTTATCAACACCACCCCATCAGACCCAACTGAAACATGCTAAAACCAGACTTCTCTTTATCTGATCACCACTCACAATTATATCTCATGAAGTTATGAGTCAAGGTGACCCTAGTTCAGTGAAATTACATACACAGTGGCAAATTAGCAATACAAATGATAAAGGTTTGTTAAAGTAATAAGACAGAAGCATAGCTAGTGAAAGGTAGGCTACACAAAAGAGTTAAAGTGAAAAAGACAAGAGAAAGGGGGTAAAGGGCCTGTGCAAAGATAAATGTAAACCTAACAACATGCAGAAAAGGAGATGAAAGCTTGGACCCCAGGTTGGTTGTTGTTGTTACGTTACTGTCTCCTGAGACTTGGTAGTAGTGCAGCCTACCTGGCTCTTGTGTCCCACCTGGGCTAGGGAGGGAGCAGATTACTGGTTCCTGCTGAAATAACTATGACATTGATGCAAATGTAATAATTTCCTTCCTGTTTCCTGAGAGACTCCTCTATGAGAGTGAATGAACCAGGTAGCAATTCCAGCCTTTAACACCAATCAGCACAATTTCCTTCTGCATTGTCTTCTTTGATTAACTTTTAAGAGTTTTTAGTTTCTGTTTCATTTCACTTATTTTGGATCATTTTTATCCAAAAAGTCTTTTATTTAAAAGATAAGGAATTTATTGTTTTAAACCTTAACTTCTCTCTTAGAGGGACATCATATTAGCATTTTGCATAAATTATACCCAAATGTTTAGATTCTAAGTGGCTGCAAAATAAATATATTAGATTTATAAAGAGGGAATGATCTGATTTTTTTCCGGTCATATTTAGGATATGAAGACTATATAAAGATGGACATTCATCCTAAGAAACTTGTAATGGGTGTACCCTGGTATGGTTATGATTATACTTGTCTGAATCTATCTGAGGTATGAACTGGTTATGTGCTATGATGTAATTTTTACATTTCTGTTATATGCTCTAAAAATTGTTTTATTATACTAGAAAAATACAAGCTTCGTTTAGCATTTCTTGAAATAGTTTGTTATTAAGAAGTAAATAACTTATCTTTAGTTGTTTAGTCCCATTAATGCTTCTAAATATATTCTTTTTAATGAATTTTTTTCATTTTCTTATATTACTCTGATTTATTTACAAAGTTTGAATACATATTTTCACAAAAGATCCTTCCCATTTCTTTTACCCCACCCACCCGCTGAATTGTGCAACTTGTATGTGAATGTCATGTAATTTTATTTCATAATGAAATTTAAGTTTTTCTATTTATAACATACTTTCTTTCCCCAGAAATAACTTTTTTATAATATTTTGTCTTCATTCTTAAAATTTGCAGAGCTAATCATTAATAGTTTATAACATGCTCATTTTTGCATTTTTAGGATGATGTTTGCACTATTGCAAAAGTCCCTTTCCGGGGTGCTCCTTGTAGTGACGCTGCCGGACGCCAGGTGCCCTATAAAGTGATCATGAAACAAGTAAACAGTTCTGTTTCTGGAAGCCAATGGAATAAAGATCAGCAGGCTCCGTATTATAATTATAAAGTAAGATTTTTCAGAAGTTATGATGTTTATTCTATTTTCTTAGTTGATATTTTTATAATTTGATATAAGAATTTGTATTAGTTTTATTTTAGGGCATAATATGTAGATGGCTATTTACTTGAGTAAACTTACCACTGAATGTGTGCAAACAGGAATTTTAGTTCCTTGGGGAAGAATTCTAGTTATGCTAATAGTAGACATGGCTAGGCTTAAGTTATTTGCTATTTTAGATCATACTGTACAATGTTATCAGGAGAGGCCAGTCATTGGAAAAGACAGCATGCTTGGAAGAGTAAAGGGTCAGGGAAGGAGAGGAAGACTCTCAACTATACGCATATCATAGACAATTTCCTTTAATGGTTAATAATTATATTATTATGACTGATAGTTTTCTCAAAGGGCTTGATCCAAAATAGGTTTCAAATAGGTTTAAAAAAACCCTGTATTTCAAAGTAGCCTAAATTATGATGAGGCTTTTACATGGAGTATAGTGAGGTTGTGAATCATAGACTTTACAGTGGAAAAATTACATCATTTGTAGGTTATTTCACAGTTCAAATTATATGCTACCAAAGGACAAATTATAATAAATGGTAACTATTAAAGATACATAAATAATACAAAAGAAACTTGAAAAATACAGGAAATGAGTAGCATTTCTATCAGTTGTTGTTTGAAAACTAGGAGTTGCTATAAAAGAGTCTTAGTCACAAATACAACAATGACAAAAGAGGCCAAAAAAAATGATAATTTTTCTAATTCAGCACAGTAAAATATTTTTTCACCCCTCAAAAATCCATAACTCACAATCTTTACACTTACTTTCGATGAAGTAACTTACAATGTTTGGTGCCATGGAGTTAAATACAACTCACAGTGTCCCTGTAAACAATAGATCAAATCTTTGCCCTCTCCTGAGCCATCTCATGATCTCCGCCTTGGGAGCCCATTGTTGTAGTCACTGGATCAACCCATCTTGTCGAGGGTCTTCTTCTCTTTTGCTGAACTTCTCACTTTTTCAGCGTGATGGTTTTTTCTAAGCACTGGTATTTCCTGATGACGTATCCACTTAAAGTTGCTGTTGTTAGATGCCATCAAGTTGGGTACAACTTACAGTGATCGTATAAATGACAGATTTGAATTAAGTCCTATCCTGCACCATCTTCATCATCTCTGACACACTTATCCCCATTGTTTCAGTCACTGTGTCAGTTGAGGTTGAGAGGCTTCCTCTCTTTCATTGATCCTCTACCTTTCCAAGCATTATGTCCTCTCTGAGGAATAGCTTTTCCAAGCAGCATGCCCAATGTATACGAGACAAAGCTTTGTCATCTTTGTCTCCAAGCATTACTGAGGCTTCTCTTTTTCTAAGATATATCCCTTTGTTATTTTGGCAGTCTGAAGGATAGATATTCTGTCCTCCACTCCAAAATCACTGCTCAAAGGCATCAATTCTTCTCTCTTCCTTATTCACTATCCAAATCTCAGATGCTTAGCAGATGATTAAAAATACTATGGCCTGAGTCAGGCACACCTTAGTCTTTAAACTGACATTATTTCTCCTCAGAAATGTGGAGAGGTCATTGACAACAGATTTGTCCAAAGCAATACATTTCCTAATATCGTGACGGCTTGTACCAAGCGTGTTGATTGTGGATGCAACTGAAATGAAATCATTGACAACTTTACTCTTTTCTTTATGATGATGCTTATTGGCCCATTGGTGAAGAGTTTTGTTTCCTTAAAATGGAATCCATATTAAAGGCTGTAGTCTTTAATCTTTTGTAGCAAATGTTTCAAGTCCTCCTCACTTTCAACAAGCAAGGTTGTGCCATCTGCATAAACACAGGCTGTTGATGAGTCTTCCTCTGATCTCAATATCACATTTACCACATTCTTCTTTACAGAGTCTAGCTTCTCAAGTGTTTTGCTCAGTGTACAGATTAAATAGGTATGGAGAAAAGATATCATCCATGTATAGAGCAAAAGGTTCTTACAAAGACAGAGGAGGAAGAAAAGACCAAAATAGATAATAGAAAATACTTAGATACTTGATTAGATAATTACTAGGTTATAGAAGAAATATTAAGGCGATTATTATTAGATTATAGAATAAATGTTAACGTATGAGAGGGTCTTCAGTGGAGTATATTAGAAAGTCATTCATGTAACATCTCCTTTAAAGTGCCGTGTTGATGTGCCATTGAGTGGGAGCTGACTCAGTTGATCCGCTAGTGGGTTTTCAGAGGCTGTAAATCACATGGGAGGAGGTTGCCTATCCATCTCCCAAGGAGCAGCTTGTGGATTTGAACTTGGGTGCCTTTGCATTGCAGCATAGCTTCTTACCTCCAGGCCACCAGAGTTCTCCAAAAGCAGTAATATCTAGAAAGTACTATGTGTGTGTGTGTATATATATTTATTTATTTATGAAATAATAGAGGCTGGAAAGTATTATGTCATAAATTTTTATTATTAATTGAATTCTCTTTGAACTATTGGATTTAAGAAATGTATTTTCCTCTTACTGTACTGAATACTTGAATTTTTTTCCATTTACATTTATTTGCATAGGATTCTTCAGGCCATTTTCATCAAGTGTGGTATGACAACCCTCAAAGCATTTCTTTAAAAGCAGCGTATGTACAGAAGCGTGGCTTACGAGGCATCGGCATGTGGAATGCAAACTCTCTGGACTACTCTGGAGATGCTGAGGCCAGACAGCAAACTGAAGAAATGTGGAAAGTCTTGAAACCAGACCTGGGACAGAGAAGACTATCTTTTCTATGAAAATCTTTTGTCAAACTATTAAAATTTAAATAGACAAATCTTTGTAAATAGATTCAGTTTCTTAAAGTGATAAATGTATGTGTAAGTTTTAGTCGGATGGCTTTGTTGTTATGTGCCATCACGTCAATTGCAACTCACGTGAGCTTGTGACCGGTGGCTCTGAATCTTGTGCTTTCCTGTGCTGTCCTTTCCATCTCTGAGACATGTGAGCCCATTATTTGTGTCTTTGGACTCTCGATATTGTTGCTTTATCTTGTTATTATACCCCAAAAAGAGATAAAGAATTTCTTGAAGCAGTGGACCTTGCTCAAAGATAGTGGCTGACTGTATGGGGTTGAATGTGTTCTGCTCTTTGCAATTTTGACTATTATCAAGTCTCCCGCACCAGGCTCCTGGAAAAACTTGCTAACATCTCCCTAGTTTCCCATTATCTGGCTTCAACTTGCAGTCAATGTTAATTTTTAAATACATAAAATCTGGAAAGGGTTTCTTAGAATAGATATTTTTTTTTAGAAAGCTAATCTTTTAGAGTTGTTTGCTGTGTACATTATTTTTTTTTCAATTTTTAAGTGTACATTTACTCCTTTAACAAGCTGATGGAAATAATTTTTCTGCTTCCTGATTCCATGCCACACTCACATACTCTAAGGCACCTGAATTAAATTCAACGAAACCTCAACACAGTGAGTGAAGGGTTTGCTGCTGTTATAGTGTACTGTTGAGTCATAGCTGACCCTCCAGGGGGATTCAGAGCCAGTTAATCGCATGGGAAGAGATTGCCCATCCTTTTCCTACAGAGCAGCTGGTGGCCTTGAATCACGTGCCTTCAGCATCGCAATGGAAAAAAGAAAAAAAAAAGTACTCATAAAATAAGATGAAAGCTTAAGCTTAATATTTTTAATTAGTAGATTGTTATTGTTGTTGTTCTTAGGTATCATTGAGTCAAGTACGACTTATGGCGACCCTACGAACAACAGATTTGAACACTGTCCTACACTGTGCCATCCTCACACTTCCTGACACACTAGAGCCCATTGCGGCAGCCACCATGGCAATCCACCGGGTCGAGGGTCTTCTCTTTCACTGACTCTGTACCTTTCTAAGCACCATGTTCCTTTCCAAGGAATAGCCCCTCCTAGCAGCATGCCCAAAGTATGTGAGATGAAGCCTTATCATCTTTGCCTCTAAAGAGCACTCTGGCTGCACTCTTTTGTAATCTATCCTGAATTAGTAGGTTATTGTTATGTGCTGTTGGTCACCTGCAACTCAGAGCGACCATGTGTACAATAGATCGGAAACCTGCCCTGTACTGAGCCAGTCTCACTGACCCTGACACACCTACCCCCACTGCCCTTGCCACTGTATCAATCCATCTCATTCGGAGTCTTCCTTTCCTGTGCTATCCCTCCATCCTTTCAAGCACAATGTCCTTATTCAAGGATCAGTCTCTCCTGGCCACATGCACAAAGAATGTGAGACAGAGCTTCAAAATCCAAGCCTCCAAGACAGACCTATGTGTTTTCTTAGTGGTCCATGGTATGTGTATGTTCAAGACTACTCCAGCACAAAACCTCAAAGGCATCAATTCTTCTTTGTTGTTGTTAAGTACTGTTGACAACTCATAACGACACTATGAAAGAAAGACCTGAATGAACACTTGTATAACTTTCATCATTTCTCCAAGTTCGTAGAGTTTCCAGAGGCAAGCCATTTCCGAGGCAAGCTATTTCAGAGGTGGATGCCTCCTGCTTCCAAGCTTGTTTTAATTGGGGATCTCCACCAAACATTGTCCACCACAGATAACCATTATTGCATTTGGTGCATCAGTGCCACAGTGTTTAGAATCACAGCAACCACGAGTTACCTTGTTATACCAAATGGACAGACCAGTGCTATACCATTTAGAAGAATGTTTGACCAAAACCAATTAAAACCAGGCCTGAGGGCCACAGTTTAAAATCACTCACCTTTGGCTTGGTAATATTTTAATGAGACTATATAGCTGACATTTTTATGATAGGAATAACTGGATGTAGAACCTGATTTGGTGCATAGTCAAGTACCCTACCCGTGATTCAGGTGCCCTCATTATGGAAATCCATAATTTATTTCTTGCTTAGTTTCTTTATGTAGTCACTAATTTTTTTTTCTATATCTAGGTTTTCTTATTTGTAATTATATACACATTTCCCTCCCCAATGGTTCTTTTTTAAATTTGTATATCATTTTAATTTTTTAGCATATTCAATTATTTTTTAATTGAGATTTTAATGAAAGTTTATAGAGAACTTGGATCCATTCATTCATTGTTGCACATTTTCCTCCCTGGGTTATTTTTCTAAAAGAGAAATTTCCTGTAAGGAATTTTTCTAACTGTGCAGAAGTTTCTGTTCTCTTTCTCTGCAATTAAGAACATTTTGTTGTACTTCTATTAGTTTCAGCAAATCACTCACTCACTGCCATCATTGCTCATGTATTTAAGTTCCTATAAATAGATAGTAAACCTGCATGCTTGTATCCTGGAATTTCAGAAGTCCTCCCTTCCTTTCACATGGACCCCACTCCACCAAACGGAAATAACTGATCTGTTATATTACTGTTGTTGTTGTTATAATGTGTCTTTGAGTTGAATATCTATGGTTGTGGTCATGTATTTCGAGTCAGGAACAATTCATAGCTGACCATCCAGTGGGTTTCCAGAGGCAGTAAACTGCACAGGAGGAAATTGCCCATTTGGGAAAATTATAATTCCTAGTTGTTATTGTTTATAATTGCAATTGTTTTCCATAGTTAGCAAATGTTGTTGTTGTTAAGTGCCGGTGAGTCACAGGTGACTCATAACAACCCAATGAAGGAGAGTCCTCAATGCTTGGGTGCCTTTCATCCTCTCTCCAGGTTCATAGGGTTTCCAGAGGCAAGCTATTATGGAAGTGGATGCCACTCCTCCTTCCAAGCTTGTTTTAATCGGGGAGCTCCACCCTACTCTCTGTCCACATTGGGTAAGTAGGCATTAACGCATTTGACACATTAGTGTAGCAGTGTTCAGCCTCACAGCAACCACAAGCGACCGCTGTATGGCAACTTGTACACCAGGGCTATACGACCTAGAGGAATGTCTGAACAAAAACAATGAAAGGCAGGCCCGAGGGCCAAGAACTGAAAGTCGCCCACCTTTGGCTTGGTAGCATCGCTTTCTGTCCACTGGGCCAGATGATCTCTCTATGTTGATGCTATTGTTGTTAAGTGTCGTGGGGAAAACCACCTACGGAAAACTTAAGCAAGACCCACACCTCACACCATACACAAAATCCAACTCAAGGTGGATCAGGTACCTACAAGGAATGCCCAAATGCTGGCAAAGTCCTTCTGCCAGACCCCCAGTTCATCTGGCATGTCTGCTCTGGCGACCACTACGTGGGGTCAAAAGAACGCCAAAATTGCCCTGAGCCCTCAAACCTGCCATGCCTCAAGAAGCCAGAGTCCGGATTCAGCAAATAAGATGAAAAAAAAGAGATTGAGATTGTTCACAGCTTTAGTTTGCTTGGCTCCACAGTTAACACTCTTGGTACCAGTAGCCAGGAAACTAAAAGGCGCATTGCCATGGGAAAGTCTGCTGTTAGGGACCTCTGCAAAGTGTTGAAGAGCAATGGTGTCTCTCTGGTGACTAAGGTGCATTTGATACAGGCCATGGTCTTCACAACCACTTGTTATGCATCAGAGAGTTGGACAATGACCAAGGAGGATAGAAGGAAAATTGATGCCTTTGAGCTGTGGTGCTGGAGAAGAGTATTGAGAGTACCATGGACTACTAGGAAAACAAACAGATTCATCCTGGAAAGGGTTAAACTGGGTGGCTCCTTGGAGGCAAGAATTCTGAGGCTCCGTCTAACATACTTTGGACATGTTGTGAGGAGAGACCGGTCCTTAGAGAAGGACATCATGCTTGGGAGGATGGAGGGACAGCGCAGGAGAGGAAGGCCCTCTATGAGGTGGATTGATTCAGTGACTGGGATAATTGGGATGGGAGTGTCAGAGACAGTGCGATTGGCACAGGACAGAGCAGAGTTTAGGGCTGTTGTACATAGGGTCGCTATGAGTCTCAAGTGACTTGACGGCACATAACAACAACAACAACAATCTTAAAAATTAGAATAAGAAGAATTTTTATTTTTCCTCACAATTAAAAATCTGTTCTCAATTTGTAAAGTAGAGAATACAGATTCCTGTGAGAAAGAGAACTTGATGAGACTGCCTTGCATAAACAGACTCCTCTCCTACATGTGCTATGTGCAGGGGGATTGGACCAGGTCGCCACAAATGATCTGTTTTTATTGAATAATAATGACTTTTCTTCTGCCAGAACTGTGTATGTGTCACATGCACACAGCTCAGTCATTATAAATGAAAGTACTACCCAGAAGTGGTTGATGCCACTGGGTGAAGGCTTTACTTTTTTATGTCTTTTTGCTGCTAGAAATTCTGAGACACACTTGGCATATGCATTGTAGATACACATCAGTTTATTAAATATCTCTCAGTGCTAGAACTGACTGAAAGTCAAAATGTCAGGAGATATTTCTGAAGATTCTGCCTCATCATGTTAAAATACTATCTTGGTAATGGTGGCAAGAGCTTAGTGTGTGGTCTTGTTGAAAGGGTGATATTATCAGACAAGTTTGAGCAATAGAATAGAAATAATAAACCTAGAATTTAGCTCCAGATCAATATTTTTACTTAAACAAGTTATTTCTCTTCTTTGTGTCTGATTCTTTATGTTATGTGTATTGAATAGGAATGATATGTCACTTTCTCTTTAAAAAGGAATATTTCAAGATAAAAAGATGTACATCAATCATCAAATATTTATTGAGCTTACCATATGCCAGGCATATGACTTTTTTCATTCTTAATGAACGATAGTCTTGATATCTTCCCACAGCTCATCTGTTCTTCATTCATTAGTGTTCAAGGCATCAAATCTGTTCTTGAGCTGGTTTTTAAATTCAGGGGAGATAGATGGAAGATAAAACTTTGATTCTTGCAGATGTGATTTAACCTTCTTT